AGCTTGCTTTCATCTAACAGTATAAAAAACCCAACTACATACACAAAGACCTGAAATAGGATTTCAAACATCTTTTCCATTCAAATTTTTTTTTTTTAAACAGCTTTCACTCGGCTTTCTCACACACAACAACATGGTAATGCTTAACGCTTCTGGTCTGAAATGTTTTTTCTAGGTGTGAAAACTACTCAGATTAGATTCTGTTTCTGTCACAGCCATTTTTTACTTTCATTTCCCTATTTTACATACTAGTTCTTTCCTCTTCCCCTTTACCATACTTCCTCCAATATCAGGATAGCTCATTCAATGCTTGCAGTACTTCTGTACGTTCTCCAAAGACACAGCAATTATGCAACGCTGGCATATATAAACAAGTCTGAAGTATACAGTCACAAAACATTCCATGTGCATATAATATACACAGTCAGGTCAACTGCATCAATAAAACAGCATCCTCTGTATGCTCAACTAACCCAACATTAAAACATTTAACAATCTGCCAAAAGCAGTTCAGAAAGTATTAAAGTAAACACATGTGCCTACACCTACTAACCTGGCTCACAAAATGACTCCTAGCTTAAGCTTAGCATTAAAGAAGCAGTCACAAGGAAGATGTAATAATGGGGTTTCAAAGATGCCTCACTGTCTGTCTGGAAGTTTCTAATTATGTGTGCATGCACGTGTGTTTTGATTCACTGCACTGACCAGCAGACTTCTACAACACATTGGTGGCTTATTCTACTATAAATCAACACGGCATCAATGCTATCCAAAATCTTTCTTCTCAGAAGAAACAGCAGATACTGATTGGATCAACAAAGCTGAATGCAACATTTCTGAGTGACTGCGTTCTCAGAAAAACAAGACTCCACAAAATCTCCAGTGTACAACTACAAAGTAATTAGAACAGAACAGTGCAAACTAACAGACAGATGAGCCAGCAGTGCGCTCTGGCAGCTCAAAAGGCAAATGGTATCCTGGGCTCCATCACGAGAGGCGTGGTCAGCAGGGACAGGGAGGTGATTGTCCCTCTCTACTCGGCTCTTGTGAGGCCCCATCTGGAGTACTGTGTCCAGGTGTGGAGCCCTCAGTACAAGAAAGACATAGATTTTGGAAAGGGACCAGAGGAGGGCGACTAAGATGATCAGGGGGCTGGAGCACCTCCCCTATGAGGACAGGCTGAGGGAGTTGGGCTTGTTCAGCCTGGAGAAGAGAAGGCTGCGGGGTGACCTCATTGCAGCCTATCAATGCCTGAAGGGAACCTACACCCAGGAGGGGAGTAAACTCTTCAAAAGGGCTGACAACAGCAGGACTAGGGGAAATGGATCCAAGTTGAGGGAGGGAAGATTTAGGTTGGATGTTAGGGGGAAGTTCTTTACAAGGAGAGTGGTTAGGCCCTGGAACGGGCTGCCCAGGGAGGTTGTGGATGCCCCGTCCTTGGACGTGTTTAAGGCCAGGTTGGACGGGGTCCTGGGCAACCTGATCTGAATGTGTATGTTTGGTGGCCCTGCTAGGCAGGGGGGTTGGAACTACATGATCCTTGAGGTCCCTTCCAACCCGGGTGATTCTGTGATCCTTGTATTTGCTATAGTACATGCCTCACAGACTGAAATCAGTTTCCCCAGCAAACTTCACTTGCTCACATACAGCATATACTGACTTTAAAACACACAAAATCGAAATCTTCCTTTTAAGCCCAATTCCAAATGGCCTTCTTGATCTCCAAGACATTTAGCCTTTTTGCACATCAGCGGAGAGGTTCTTAACAACTTCATTCTCCAAGAACAACCACATATCTCAGAACGTATGAGACTGTGCATATTTAGAAGAACTTACAATGTGCATACGTACTGTGTCTACCTTCAGCGCAGTCTTGTCACAGTCCAAAATATATGTTCAGTTTACTTCTCTTCTACCTACATGAAAGACTGCAAGATAAGCCTGAATTCACTTTCAAACTCAGAAGAAAAGGAATAGCTAGAAAGCAGACTTTATCCTGCCAAGTTGCCCTATGTTGCAGCAAGACAAATTCCAGCAGTGTTATCTGTCACTTCCATTTGGCTACCAGTGTACCTACATCTTCCCTTCTGAACTTCTAAGTCTCATTCACTGACTCCGCAATTAAGCCTCTTCCCAGTGCCTTCTCACAGTCTTGACCAGTGCCTCAACTAAAACAAATTATCTACACAGCCAGCTGAAGAAGTAGCTAGCATCAGCATAATGGTAAAGTTGAGGTTCAAAGTTAATAACATCCGAAATTTTGGAAAATCTGGATTATCATCTGGAGTGTAATTAATGAGGGGAAGAAACCGAGACGAGAAACAGACCAGTCATTTGGGTATAAATATGAATCATTTTGTGGCCTACCATCTCATTACAATGGAGTTCTAAATGTTCCTATTGAACACTGCTTTCTTTCATCTCTAGAATTACCTTTATTTCCAATTTCCACACTGTCTTAAGTAATAATAATAATTAAGAATTTATGTTTATATAACATAATGTATATTCCTCAGCTCAGAGTCACAAGCAGCTGTTCCAGAATATACTAGGTAAAGCAATCACCCACAAACAAAATTCCCAATTTCAATAACTAACAGCAGTGTGTTTTATTCTGTCCAGCCCTTCCTTCTTCATTCATCCCAGCATGCAGGCTTTCCCAGCACTTCGTAGGCAGCTACCCAAACATGGGTCAGATGTAACATGCACTGTTTTCAGCTCATCTAGCCTATCCCAAAGTAATGCAGGCAGTAGGGCCTGGTCATTAGGAGAAACACAAGTGCCCTTTCAGCATGTTCTACAAGTAATCATAACTAGTCTTTAAGATTAGAAAATGGATGCCAATTCATTTCAGATAGAAAGTATAAAACCCTTTCAAAACAAAACAAACAAGAAATAGCAACAAAAAGTAATGACTATTATAGTAATTTCCTCTTCAGCCACTTATTCACAGAGAAGACTAGAAATAGACATGAAAATAACTACCTCAGCTTCAACCACAGTACAACCTGAAGCTACTGAACTTGATATCCAGCATTGCTAATGCAGTGCACACATGCAGAAAGATATGAATTTTAAGCTAAAAATAATTCTACAGACTGAAGATGGCACTGAGCTGCACTGTGTACAACAGTAGCTAAAGACAGGCCACAAACTTAAAATAGCAGTGATTTACTGGAGATCCACCCACTCAGCAACTCAGCATTCTAAACTGATAGCCAGTAAGACATGGAAAGGAGGAATGTCCCAGTTCTGTGCCATGATCAAACTGCCACCTTCTTCCTTTGTCTCATTACAGCTTAGATGTCTGTAGTCAGTGTGATCACTCAGGACCACACAAGTACATAGGAGTGACAAGAGAAGCAAAGCTCTTGCCAATATTCAGCATGTGTGGCATAACATTAGTCACCACCTAAATCTTGTTAAATCTCTTTTCAAGTTTCTTAAATGGTAGAATCAAACCAAGTTATCATTATAATGGCCTCTGCATATTCTTTATTAAAAGAAGGCGAAAATTTGAATTTGTATACAAAAGTACAACACAAGAAAACAAACTTTCTTTCCCACTACCCTGTAATAGGAAGCAGCTTCTTCCCTATATTCAGCAATCTCCAAGAACTGGCAGGTACAAAGAGGAAGAAAGCACTTCCTTGGAAAAGAAAGACACAGTTCCACATTGAATTCAGTTCCTGAACTGAATCTTGACTGTGTTCAAACGATGCTTTTTAAAAAATATTTATTTATATAAGTTCATGGCACTGTGGAGCCAGTTCTCTCAGATATCAAATATACTAAAAAAAAAAAAAAAAAAAAAAAAAAAGGAAAAAAAAAAAAAAAACAAAAATGTACTTTAAAGAGATAGTTTCAGTTACAAATCTGAACTCATTTTCTCTTTAAGGACTTTTCTGACTGACCTGCTCTCTAGGATATTTCATATGGATACATACAGGAAAACACATTTATCTGTACAATCGGAGATAACAAAGTGACTCAAACAATTAATAATACTGGTGATGCTTGGAGCAGGAAAACAGCCCGTTCAACTTGCAGAACCAGTCCTACAAACACTTGGGGAAAAAAAGAAAAAAGAAACCGCAACCCTTTGGTGCCACTGTTTTGACTTACCAGTTTATTCCCCTCCTCTCAATTCTTTTTGACAATCTAACCTACTTAAAGGGACACTGACAGAATGACAACAGCGCTACATATTCCTCCTCCAGAGTGCTCATCTCGTGTTTTGTTTTATTCACATTTCTCAGTTTCATAAGGCATTTTGTCATAAAACCAAGCACCTCTCTGCAGTGATGATACTGCTCAGCACACTGAGTGGTCTTCATCCTCACAGCACTATTATGTTGCTACAACTGTATGTAGATAGAAGGTATTCCAGGAATATATTGTGAACCATTTCCTTTGCCTTTCTTGGAAACTAATTAAAAGACAACAATGGTCTTTTGTAACAATGGTGTGAAATATCAGACCACCGCCATGCGTGCAGCAGAGGCCCTGATGAAGCAGCAGGAGGCACCTGTGTGGAGCCACCCCTAAGCACACCGCCGGGTTTATTCAAGCCTTAAAGCAAACAAGAGTGCTTTCTCAGTTGTCTCAAAAGCGTGACTTGTCGCGTAGACATGATAGCTGAAGTCGTTCAAAATTAATTTTGACTACGCTGAGATGTCAGAAATAAGGCGATACAATAGAGATCTTCAATGCGAGCACATTTCCAGAAGTCGGGCTGCCAACCCCGCAGACAACTCTGCACTCACAGCGCAGAGGTGAACACTTTATTTCAGCTTTCCTTTCTTACGTGGAAGTGACTCGACGAACATTTCTCACTGTAGGTTCCAATCACCGCACGAGGCCTCGGCTCATGCCGCCCCGTCCGCCCCGCCCCGCCTCTGACCCCGAGTGCCTCCTGGGCCTCCCTTCAGCCCTCACACTTCCCGGCGGCGGGCCCAAGGCCAGCTCCGACCCCCGCCTAGGCCCAGCCCTGCGCCTACCTTCAGCCGCGCGCTGGTGTCGTACTTGTCGTTCCTGAAGGCGCGCGCGTTCTGGTGGCGCTGGGGCCGCCTGCGCGCTACGTTCCCCTTCTCGGAGCTCATTCCCCCGGCAACCGCCGCTGCAGGCCGCGCGTGCCCCGGAACCGCTCCTCCCCCGACCCTCCATCTGCCATTGGCGGAAGCAGCCATCCGTTAAGCTCGCTCCCAAGCGGCGATTCGCCGTCCGCTCGCCACGTCCCGCCCGCCCGTTCTAAGGCGGATCCCCTGCGGTCGGAGCCGCGTTGCGGGCCGTGCTCCGATTGGCGCTCGGCGGCCGTTGGTCACCGCGCGGCCGGCTCCGCCCTACTGCCCCTTTGGCCGCCGCGGCAGCCGCTGGGTCAGATGCAGTCGCTCGGCGGGGCGAAGTCGGCGCCGCTTCCCTAAGCTGTTCGGCGAGAGGCTTCCGCCGGCCGCGCGTCTCCTTCCGAGTGCTACGCGGGAGGCAGCAGGCACCGCTGAGCCGGCAGCCGCCGCCAAGCCGTTACTCAGCACAACCGACGTCGCCGCGCCCGGCGCTCGGACGGCGGTGGTCGGGAGCGCGCGGGGTCACCGCTGCCCAGCGAAGGGGAGCCGGGAGCCCCGCGCAGGTAGGCGCTGGGGACGGCGGGCCGAGCTGAGCCGAGCTGGGGGCGGCTGCAGCGGGGGCAGGGAGGGAGAGGGAAGGGCTGCCGGGCAGGTGAGACGTTCCGGGTGGCTGCGGCGAGGGGTAGGGGCGGGCGGCGCCTTCTCCCGTTGCTCCGCCCGCGGGGTGCTGCGGGACGGCTGCTGCCCCGCTCACGCTGGGGGCGCCTTTGTTCGAGGATGGAGCAGCTGCTGCCCGCTGGCCGCTCCCGAGCTGTGCGTCCTCAGGCCCCGCGCTCTTAGCGCCTCTGTCAGCATTGCGAGCTGCTGGGAGCCGTCTGGGGAGATCGGGTGTTGCGGTGAGGCTGACTTACTGCGTTTTCTCGGCTCCTGCCCCTGCCGGCGAGGGCGAAGCTGGCCTTAGCCTTGCTCTCGAGCGGTGATCGCTTACGCCTTCAGCCCGGAGGCAGCCACTCGAAAACACACGGTTTGTTTGTTTGTAACCAGTGTGTTCCGAACTCAAGTTCTATTCTCATCATGCCTCTGTACGGTGTGGCTGTTACTGTTGCTTGTTTATTTTTTTTTTTTCTCGAATGTAATTGCGTTGATAGGTTGTTTTTTTTTGTTGTTTGTTTGTTTGTATGTTTTTGTTTGAGAAGAGCTTGGAGGATTAATAATATTATCTTGGGTCGTTTTTCGTTACTGAATAAACTTCCTCAGTGTTATTTTCTGGACGTTCATTCTTAATAGCACTGGGTAGGATGGCTAACCTAATGTAGCTTACTTGTACACCGGTTTACTTAACGTTTTGTTCCTTTATGTGTTGAACTGATACATGTTAAACTTGTATTCAAGCCCTTCTTTCTGTAGCAATGTACACAGGTGTTAACAGAGTTTCAGTAACGGTTTGAACTACAGTTTTCATTGCCTTGCCTTCAGTAAAAGGAATAGGCATTCGAGTACATTATTTCAGGACTGCATAATGAAAAAATGATTATTCATAAAAAACAGCACACCACAATGTGAATGTCTTGCTTGTTGCAAAGTTAGGGCAACAATAAGGTTTACAAGCTGGCAGTAGTGCTTATGAATTTGACTTTATTCTTTTGAATTGTTCTTATGATGTAAGTAATTTAGTTTAAACACATATTTGCATTAAATCTGTAGAATTTTAAATGTAAGATTTCTAGATAAGTATTTGCATGGGCAGGGTTTTTGAGGCTAAGATGCTAATATGTAGTAAAGTACTTCAAGATGTGAATAATATAAGCCAATCTGATTTACAGAGGAACAAGCACAAGAATAATTGCTTATATGAAAGAACTATGTCTGCATTATCCTAGGAATAGCAATATAAATATTTAAGGTGTACTTTCAGATTAGGTGGATTTTTTTCCCCTCTTCTGTCAGCCTTGATCATAAGGTTAATTGCTGAATTTAACTACTGCCTGTAGGCAGTTTTAAATTTTCCTTCTTGTATGCTACTTTTTAATTATTGTTATTATTCATGAGAGAGATAAATTTCATAAAATGGTCTCCTCTTTCTTTTAAAGGCTCTTCTACAAAGAGCAGTCTTGTCACTTGAGTCTGTTTTGTTTCTTCACTTTTCTTGGAGCTGTAGTAAAAATCATGCATTACAGTTCCTTCCACAATTTTTCTATTATATCTGCATGAAAACACAGTGTTCTTTATATTTCTAAAGGATGTTTACATTTCTCTTTCTACATTCTTTCTGTTGTTAATAACTTTACCAGCATTAGGAACTATGTTTACAGGGCAGCGCTGTCATCTTTACTGTTATGTTGTTGAAATGTGTTATCTTTGTATCTGGAGATTCTAGTGTTATGAGGATAAATTTTCATCATGCATACTCAAAAGCTGTTAGGTTGTGACCTGGGTTTTCTCTGCTTATGTTAATCTCATTACTAACATTATTAACCTATCCTTGTGGTAATTTCTGGTGGGAGTTGATTTTATCCTGGTTTTAGTGATAGGATTCATGTGAAGTATACTCAAGCCTTTTTGTTATTGGTTTGGTATTTTTTCAAACAGTATCACCTATGGTATTTAGAGTTCCATAAATTATAAAGTAGGCTTATTAGAAGCCCAGAGGTTTCAGTAGTACTCTTGATGTCCAGATGGGAAATTTGAACTGCTTTTGTGAAGACTTGGCAGTAAATGAAGACTGACTTAAATTTTTTTTAAGTCTTATCTTAATTCCTGTGTTGGGAAGTCATTAAGAAATCATGTTGAATGTCTTCCTAACATTTAAAGGAAACAAACTTTAATCACTTCACTGAAGTATCTTACCTGTATACCTTCTGAGGAATGATAATGTCTGTTCTAATTGAAGTTATGACATCACATGCATATCTACTAGGCTGAAATGCTGATTCAATTGTACTTTTAAACAGTGATATCAGAACAACACTGTGCACCATGGGGATTCTCACATCCTGGTTCCATTCCAGATCCAGAGGTAAAGAACGCACTCATGTGAATACAATGAATGACAAACTAGTTCCAGTATAATGAAAACATTGTTTACATGTAGTTGGCAGTATCCTCCTGAGAAGGACCAGTAGGTGTTCTATGACACATTTGTTCAGTTAGTGATGCTAGGGATCTAATTTTTTTCTTCAGTTTTTCCAAGAAAAGGTAGCAGTGACTCTTTTCTTTAAAGCAAAGGTTGTTGCTGGCCATGATTCAAGTGGAGAATGGCTCAGGAATAAGAAACTGAAGTTTCAGTAAAGATTAAATGGGCATTACATGAAGTCTACAGTACAGTCTGGTACAAGGAGAGAAATGATACTTTATCCATTTTCTTCCACATATTTCATTTGTCATATGTGGCAGCAACCCATATTTAGCACATTTAAGCTATGTTGGGGGCCCTGTACCTCCTCAGCTGATTATCTCTAATTATTGCAGTAATGTGAATTCCACAGACCAGTTAAAATTACAACAGATAGCAAATACTTTGTGTGAAATCTTATTTGTAGTGTTGCAGGGCTGTTTATGGTTATAAACAATGTAAACTCCTGGCTTCAGTTCTTTCTGACGTGTGGTTTATAAAGGAAGTAAGAAGTTTTGCAGTTATTACTTTATGTTGGAATAGAATGCAGTCATCTATTCTTGGACACAAGAGGCTGTTTGTACCTTAGTTTTGAAGGTACTGCTACATTTTTTTCAATGAAATGAAAATGCTTCCCTCCATCATAAAGTACACTGTATTATCTAGCTTTGGCATTCAAATTTTCTGGAAAAGTGGGAAAAAAATACTCAATGTAATAGTTTCTATAGAAGTAGAGGTGTGATTGAATACTGAGTCATTGGTGATGTTTGCAGAACTAAAAAAGCCTCTTGAAGTATTACAACAACACTGTTGTTCAAAGTCTGCGAATATGAGCTTTCTGATTAAAGTGAAGAAAATGGCTCCTTTGGTGCTCACAGCCATGAGAGACATAAAGCAGGAAATAAATGTTTACCTGTTCTTGTGCATAAGATGTTCAAAGCCTTTTAAAAGTCTCTGGACATCTTCGGTAGGTCTTTCCCACTTGTCTTTATTTGCATGTTGAAAGTAATGTCCAATAATGTCACTTGAAAGAGAGCAGATGAGCAATTACAAGTTAAGTGACTAATTTGCTTATTGCATTAATACATGAGTCTATTTCCTTAACTGGTAGGTTGTATACTCCAGATCTGTTCATTAAGAGATAACTTACCTTTTCATGGCAGCTGATGGGCCCCATTCTCCTGTAACTGGTTATGTTGACAACTCTGTGATTTCCCTTTCTTTTGAAGAAAACTAGAGACTTGGGGTGAAAACACCTGACAAAAAAAAGAACAACCAAGCCATTGTTTTATGCTTCACAAGAGGCAGTAATATTTCAGAAACACACATCTTGTTTATTAGACTTGCTGTGATTTAGTTCTCAACAAATATGTTCTATGATTGTGTAGTTCTATATGAGTGTCACACATTCCACTAAGGGAAGAGACCATCCATACAGTCAAAATAAGGCTAACTGTTCAGTCATCTGCATTCAGAAGTTCTTATGGCAGTGCCCTATAAAACTTTTCCAAAGTGAAGTGTATACAAGTTAAAGAACAGACTGAAATGTATTTTGATGTTGCCAGGTATCACAGTTACAGTAAGACTTTACTGTTGACTGACACAAGGGAATTGTTGCCTGAAACCACAAGGGAATGTGACATCAGAAGTTGGCTTTCTGTTGTTGTTATTCCTGTTTTTAAGCTTGACTCTAGCTGTCAAAGCTGATACATGAAATTGTAGGAGAGTTTCCGTTTGCATGACCAATAGGAACCGAGCATGAGACCTGTAGTAGAGCTGGGGTGGAAAAGTTCTTTGAGATAAAACATCAGATGTGTTCACAACAGGAAAGTAAATACTTATGCTAGGTGTGCTGATGTACTTCACGGTTCTTGGCAGATTGTCGTTCTCCAACCTTCAAGGGAAAAGTACTGTCACAATAAAGATTTCTTTTCCTCTTCCTTCTCGGCCTT